TATGTGCTTCCTAGAGAAAAAGTTTGTTTCTCTTTCCCTTTGTCTAGCTAGCTATCTAGCTAGCTATCTATCTAGCTAGCTAGCTAGCTAGCTAGCGAGCTAACACCTAGCGATTCATACAACATATGCTGCATGCGGTCTCTACAGTGTAACCCTAAACCCTAAACCCTAAACCCTAAACCCTAAACCCTAGCCCAAAATACTAAACCCTACACCCAGAGTAATCAACCTGATATAAATATTGCTGCAATCCAATCAAAAGAAAAATAACATATACTGAACAGCTGCTGGTGACCCCCCCGCCCCCCCCCAGCTGCAGCTGGGGCTGTGGGGTGTCTGCGCATGCAGGTTGCATGCGGAGACACCCCGCAGCGCAGCGCAGCAGCCCCGTTGGTTGCTGGTGTTTGCTTTCTACAGCTGGGGAGAGTTGTTGACCCTTCCCTGGCCCCCTACCTTCTCCGCCCCCGCACAAATAAAGATATAAAGAAAACTAAGAAAACACAAACGAAGCTGCATCTGTCTCCCTGTCTCCCTCAAGCAAAGAAACGCCCTCGAATGTCTGCTGCCCCCCAAAAAAAGAAAAAAAGAAAAAAAGAAAAACGCCAAGGCAAAGATAAATGAAAGCATTGCAGGATAACTTCGTTTCTGCGAAGCCAAAATGTTATTCTCATCAGAACCCCACTCCAGTTTTTGTGAATGCTGCAATTCAGCGTAAAAGTTTCGTTTTCTTTGCTCTCTTCAAGTTGTTATATTTATCTCCAGGATCTCAATCTTCTCTAGCTCTTCTCTCCTCGCGGTGAGGTTTCTGCGGTTTTGTAGGGGGGGGAATCGGGGATATTTAGGGTTTAGGGTTTAGGGTTTAGGGTTTAGGCTGTCTTGGAATGCTGAAATCAGGGGTATGATGGTGTTTCCACGCTGCAGTATATCGAAGGCATAAACAAACAAAGAGCAGCGAGCGGGGCTACACAGTGCATGCTGTACTTCTGTGGCTGCTGGGCTAAGGAAACCAAACCATACATAGTAAATACCTAATTCTTTATATGGTTTGCAGGGGCTTCATCAGCCCCTCAGCAGCCACGTGAATCCCTCGAAACAAATTGCCTAAGTTGAAAGCAACTGCTGAACGCCGTTTGTCGTAGCTCTTGCCCGGCGCGTTTGTGCTTCTCTCATTCATCCCCCCGCCGCCGCACGCTACGCAGAGAAGACAGCAGCAGCAGCGGTGGGGATAAATGGCTGAGGCCGGCCAGTCCGCACTAACCTCGAATCTTGATGGGGGAGAGGGATAGTAAGAGAACCCATCTGGCCCCTATCCTCGCCGGATCTGCTTCTGCTTCTGCTTCTGCTGTGAACACTTTTGTAGTTTTACTCACCACTTCTTCCGCCGCAGCAATTGCAGAGAGCAGCGTAGGCGCTGCAAGTGCTCCTGCATATTGCAGGTGAGCATAGACAGGTCATCCATGTATATATGCATCCAAGCGTCACAGCATGGCCGCGAATACATCTTTTTTGAAATATCAGTGCAGCTCAGCGGGTGCATCCATGATCACATAGAGCAAACTTGCGTCATCTAGCTGCATGCAGAGAAGGCGGTGTTGTGTCTATCGTCAGAAAATATAATATTTGTATCTCCCAGAGCTCCCCAGCGAACTCAGATAGTGCATAGGGAGGCGAGGCATGCAAGCGAGTATAATTAAGTTCATCGATCTGAGGAAAAACGAAAATTTTTGTTTCACCGGGATTTGGATGCCCGCATGCGTCAGCTCGTCTCCCGTCCTGTTTCTTTGTCAACAAAAGATTATATCTAAACCAGCTCGTTGCCTGTACTGCTCTGCATCTTCTCAGCAGCTTCTCGCCCGCTAGCTGCTACGGAGCTCCAACAGCTTCTGCTGGCTGCGGCTGGGGCTGCGGTGCTTCGCAGCAAAGCGCGGGGCTGTTCAGGGCGGGGGCTGGATGAGGCTCGTGGGCCTCCAGCGTGGAGACACCCCCGACGGTAGTTCTTTGTTTTCACTTCTCTTCTCCCTCGGGTATTCTCTGGATCGAGCCCGCCAAAACATTGATCTTCTTTGCGCCATCAAGAAAGGGTGCATGCATTTCTCCGTCGTTTCCTGCTGCGTCTGTATCTACTTCTGGGAGACTAAACTTTACTCCTCTTGCCGTACAGGGCAGAGATGCTGTTGCGGGCGCTAAAAAGTATGTTATCTCATCGTTCTTCTCAGGCATAGGCTGGTGTTGTGGGTGCATGCAGAGGGTGCATGCAGAGAGCGCATGCACTCTCTCCACTGGGTCCAGCACAGAAAGAATAAGATTTTCTCGTGGTGAGCAGTTGCAGAGTAAAAAGCAATTGTTATACGGCTGCTGAACTCACCCTTTAAGCCCCTGCTCTTGCCGAGCCCCGTACCCTGTCTTCTATATATCTTCTATGTAGCAGCAGAGACAGCCCCAACGGGTGGAGTTGTAGGTTGCATCTCTTGGCCGTAGCTTTGGATATCAGATAGTGAGCTGCAGAAACCTGTATCGAGCTACTGCGGAGCCAGCTAGCTAGACGTCTACTTAGCTAGCTAGCTAGCTAGTGCTCGCAGTGTGCAGGTAGTGAAGATGCATGCAGGTGGCTTTGAGCGGCCTGGTTGCTGTTGCACCTGGCAGCTACAAAGCTCGGGCGTAGCTAGCCAGCTGAAGCGTGGCTAGCTAGCTGAAGCGTGGCTAGCTAGCTGAAGCGTGGCTAGCTAGCTAAAGTGAAGGTAGATATCTGGCTAGCTAGCTGGGCAGTATTGTTCTAGCGCTTCGGTATCTCTTTCTTTGGCTGTCAACTTCTGTCTCCGTCGTTTTTCTCTTCTCTGTCTGTCTCCTTTTATTTAACTGCGCTGGCGGGGCCTCCTCGCAGCCATTCCTTCTCGCTGCTCCGCCCCAACCAACTAACAACTGCAGCGTGAAGCTGCGCCTGCAGTTGCTGCTGATCCAGGTGTTGTTGCTGTTGCTGCTACGGTTGCTGCTGCCGTTGGTTCTCCAATTGCTGACGCTGCTAGAAGAGTTGCTGCTGCTGTTGCTGCTTCTTCTGGCGTAGTTACTGCTGGTTTCTTGCTGCTGCTGCTGTTGGGCCTTTGCTGCTGCTGTCGCTGCTGCTGCAGCTTTCAAGTGGAGGAGCAGGACCAACAGCAGCAGCAGCAGCGGGCAGCAACAGATACGCAAAGCCAGGAGGCAACCCTGAAGCTTAAACCCTAAACCCTAAACCCTAAACCCTAAACCCTAAACCCTAAACCCTAAACCCCAGAAGGTAGTTAACGCAGACCTATTGCTGCTCGAGGTATCTGTCTCCCCTACAGAACAAAAATTCTGTTGATAGAAGAAATGCTATACATAACAACTACTGAAGGCTACGCCGTGTTAGATATTTTTTTTTAATTAATAATATTTTTTGTTCTATATTATATATAT